TTTGTTAGCTTGCATGGGTCCCGCCTTTCCAATAATGGGTCCTACCTGACCAAGCCAATTGCAAACTACCACTCGGGGTTAGTGAGAGATGTTTGTGAGGCTAGTATTATTGTTGATAAAAACTTAATTAAGTCAAGTGAACTAAACACAAAATTTTAGTTCACTTCACTTAATTTGTTGTACATTCTTAACATAACTGGTATGCTAAATGGTAAATGGTTAACATCAGTAGCATTTTCTTTTGATGTTTATTTTTTAAAGCGGTTTAGTTGTTGTGTAATGTCTCAGGACAATAATTGCATGGAATCTACTATAAATTTATAAAAAAAAAAAAAAAAAAAAATTGTAGTTTTTTTGTTGTTTCGTGAGTTGGCTTTCAAGTCTGGCTTGAAATACACTTCCCCCTTACACAAGCTGAGCCGAGCCAAGAAGTTTGCGGCTCGACTTGAACTCGTTTCTCCCTCTACTTTGACAAGCCGAGCTCATTAAGCTAAAAACTCTGCTCGGCTCGGCTTGAAAACAACCCTAACCCTCAAGATGCCTCGCAAATTCACTTGCTCCAACATGAAACTCTATGATGGAACCATTAACCTGGATGACCATTAGCCTCTTATAAACAAAGGATGTTCATCGTGCCATTTCCTGTGATCTCCGCGAAGCATGCATGTGTAAGAGTTTTGGCTTTAGCCTCATGGGACCAGCCTTCCAATGGTACACTAACCTATCCAACAACTCCATTGACTCATTCTCTCAGCTCACATACTCTTTCGTTGAGTAGTTTGCCAATAGTAAGAGACTTGAGAAACTTTTTAGCGGCTTTTATAAAGCTCATTAGCACCACAGAGAAGCACTATGGGAGTATGTGGGCAGCTTCAACAAAGAGAAGATCTCCATCCTATACTATAACCAAGAGACGACAGTCGAAACCTTCAGAAAGGAACTCCTCCTGGATAGTGAGCTCTATAAAGAATTCACTAAGTTCAATTATTCTACCATGGAAGACATTCTGGCTTGGGCCTTGCTCAAGATAAGTGGGAGGAAGATGAAGTGAATCGAGCTAGATATTCGGCCTATGAAGATCGTGTTCGAAAATAGTTGAACGATGCCACGATAGTCGCCCCATGAGCCGTACCCTCAACCAAGAAGAGATCCTAACCGAAACAACAAGCTCCAATTGATCGCCATTCGGATCAGCACATCGAAAGACCACACATCCTTGTCAATCAATACAAAATACCCGAGTACAATCTGAGTATCGAGCCGGTTGAGGTAGTGATCGTCATGAAAGATATGGGGAACGTTGTCAAATGGCCTGCAAAGTTAAAACACACCGGGGACAAACAAGAGACTACCAAGTGGTATGAGTACCATGGGGATCACGGCCACGTCATCGTTGACTGTATTGCTCTTCGACTTGAGGTGGAACTACTAAAGAGGTGTCATCTCCGAGACTTCTTAATTGACAAAGGGAAAAGTACACTTGCCAACAAAGACAATAGGGTCACACCTCCACCAAGAGAGCAAACCCCAGAGGGATGTGCCATGTGATCTTTGGTGGCTCAGAAGTAAATGGAGTGAGTTACTCCTCGACGCCTGAGCCGTGTTTAATCCTAAAGCCTGCTCTTCCCAACCATCCTCACAAGTGCTGATCGATTAGACCATCGACTTCATTAACAACGAAATAGTCACCCTTGTCAACCCTACCATGATGCACTTGTCATCACCCTCCAAATCGCCAGCATCCTTGTCAAAAGAATCTTTGTGGATTCTGGGTCCTCATCCAATATACTGTTCCTTGAAGCACTCAAAGTTATCGGTATTGATGAATTCAACATCAACCGTCATTCCACCCTCCTTGTTGGCTTCAGGTCGGAGCAAAAGTACACCCTTACGGAGAGAGCCCTTCCCGTCTATGCAGGTGGAATCAATCTTCAAAATACATTCATGATACTAGATGTTTGCTTTCCTTACAATATGATCATCAATCGACCACAGATCCATGGCATGCAGTCTATCTCCTCAACCTTCCAACAAACCATCCGGTTCCCTACCTGGTGTGAAGAGAGATACGGGGGGATCAAAAGGCTTCAAGGGATTGCTATCAGAATGCTTTCAAGACTAAGTGTGAGACTTTGTAGCAACTATAGTCCCACTCAGATGGAAGAGCTGAGCTGGACCAACTGGCTATAGAAGAGTTTGAAGAGGTCCAGATACACCTCAACCACCTGGACCGAAAGGCTCAAGTGGGAGCCCAACTCAGACCTGACATTCGAGAGAAGCTTATAGACTTCCTTAAGAAGAACCAATACTATTTTGCTTGGTCTCATTCGGATATGACAAGGATCAGCCCCAAAGCAATTGTCTATCAACTAACCATTGTTTTAAAACCCGGACTAGACTGGCTGGTCGGACTAAGACCTGACGACCTCTTTGGTCCAATTCAGGGTTTAGGGGGGTTTTTACTATATTTCAAATTTATAAGGACTTGATTGTAATTTTCTAGGGATGTTTTAAAGTATGTCAAAAATTTAGGGACTAATTGGTAATTTTTGGGCATTTTTAAATAAATAAAAAAATTTGAGACTAGTTTGAAATTTATAGGGGTGTTTTTGTAATATACTAAGATTTAAGAGACTACTTTTCAATTTTTGAAAAATAAATTTGTTGCTGACGTCACCGGTCCAATCGGTTGGACCATTTGACCCATGACCCAGTCATCTTACCAGGTTTCACGATGGGTTGGGTTTTAAAACAATACTTATTATATCTAATCGCTTTTGTTGTGTGCCACAAGTTACGTGCCCAGCTTCTTTAGGGCATGAACTTTTGAACTCAAAATTTGTCTTGATTTCACACAAAAATCTAAACCTCAAATTTTCTTTTCTTATCTTCGAGTTGTTCTGATTGACAACTCAATCGATCTCTCTATATCTCTACCCATAATCTACACGCACAAGCAGATTCGTATCAACACGATCAAACTGAAAATTTTGAGTTTATATACATCTGTTAGACTATTAAGACAAGTATACAACCTTTAATTATAAAATTTTTGTAAAAAACAAATCAACATTTAGCTCTAATTTTATAAGACTTGACAAGACTGAGAAAAGTTATGCTCAATGTAAAATATATAATGCAAAAATAACGTTTTTCTTCTTGAAAATAAAAAACGAGTGAAATTGGCGTATTAATTCTCTATTTTCATCATTTCTTTGAAGCAAAAGTTATCTTTGCCTTTGCTCCTATTTCAAAAGAAAATATTAATTAATTATATTTCACTCACTGATCAAAAGCATAAAAGAATATTCGTTAGTATATGATTCAGTTTATTTGGCTTCCATTGTAGCTGCCAAAAGACGGAAGAAAATAAAACTAGCATTAGCTGATGAAGACTTGACTCAGATTTCTTACAACAATGGTGTTATATACTGATATGGTTTGTTAGAACTTAAAGACAATTTTCGACTCTGACCTCACACCTTAAACTTTCAGATCGAATAGTTATTTAAGAAAGTAAAAATCCACGTCTTTATCTCAGGATCATATTGAACCAGATATTCAAACACACTTTTCAAAGTTATATAGGAACTGTGTGCTTGTTTTAGTATTTTAGATAGAATTTTTGATATTTTTAGAGTTTGATAGGAATAACGAGGTATAATTTAAAAATTAATAAAAATATACTTTTATGTTTGCTAATTTACTAAACACTCTAATATATAAATTTTTTTGTAAAATGACAAAAACACTACCGTTAGAATCTGGCGTTACGATGTACGACAGGTCGGATCTGGATGTTTGTATGCCGATATGGTCTTTTTCGACCAGATCCACCACAGATCTGGCCAAAAAAGGCCAGATCTATGGTCATTTCTGGCCGTTGACGGCCAACAATGTAAATATATTGTACTATAACATAACCTATGCAATCTTCAACCAATTCAATTGTCCTAAACAGTTTTGGATAAATATATTATTTCATCCTAAACTTTTAATGTAACATAATATATATTTTTTGTAATATATAAATAATTATTACTATGTGAAGGTAAGTTCTTTAAGACATGATCTAAGAAAAGTATAACTTATTACAACACAAAGTTTATTCTTATTTATAACTTATCTAAGTTTATCAGAATTATATAAAAATTATTCCTAAAAAAATTAATATTGGTAACTGTTGACTAAAAGTAATATAAATTAATTAATACTGAGTATAATTTATGATGGACGACCCAGGTAGAAGTCTTGTAAAAGTGTTCGCCAAGTCTGGCTGTTGAATTTTCCGCTCTTCCAGTAACTCTGAAATCTTTATCTTATGAATCACACTCTACATGCGTAGGCACTAACTAGTTTAATTTATTTAATTCTTTTGTCTTTCGAAACAAAAGGCATAAAACGGGATCATGAAGTTTCCACGAAATTTAAACCAGAGTTTTTTACACCTTTATATATATATAAATTTAATTTTTGAATGGATCAAAAACATTTTAAAAACTTAATAACTGAATACATTATTACTTTATTACTCAACTCAAAATAAGACTTGGTCATGGAATTATAGAATAATGTTATTTATATACATTAATTATACAAACTATTTGTTATAAATTAACGACGTGACATTTACTTTAATTTATTTTATTTTAAGTTTGTGTAAGGAATATGAATCAGGTGCCTGATATTTAAATAAAGAGTTATAAATTTGTATTGTATTCAATAGTTTGCATCATTGCATGTGTACTAAAACTCATATATGGGCACAGGGCACATGGAGCATATCTTTTAACTAAGATCTCCGACGGCTGTGCAATAATTTTACGCCACTAATGGAGGACGAATTGTAGATATTGATCAAGACTTTTCAAGATGATTAAATCATACTTCAACATCAATAGCAACGCGTCCCTAATTTTTAATGTTTTCTTTGACAAGTCCATCGCCATTTCTGACCCGTAAACTCCCCCGACAATCTATAAATAGCTAGCCCTCTCCACTAAGTTTTCACACATCAAAAATCCTTTCTCTCCTTCTCATTAATCCCTCAAACCTCTCTCAAAATTAATGGCTTTCAACATGAGAAAAGATTTACTCACATTTGCTCTATTGGGAGTTTTTGCCTTGGCCATTATTCCCCAACATGTGATGTCTCAAAACTGTGGCTGTGCTGCAAACTTGTGTTGCAGTGAGTTTGGTTACTGTGGCACTGGCGATGCCTACTGTGGCAAGGGGTGTAAGGAGGGTCCTTGCACCTCAACACCGTCGACACCATCGCCGACTCCAACTAGTGGTGGTTCTGTTGCTAGTATTGTTACAACTGCATTTTTTGATGGGATAAAGAATCAAGCAGATGCAAGCTGTGCTGGAAAGAGCTTCTACACAAGAGATGGATTTATTAGTGCTGCCAACTCGTTTCCTCAATTTGGATCAGGCACCGCTGATGAATCCAAGCGTGAGATTGCTGCATTTTTTGCTCATGTTACTCATGAAACTGGACGTAAGTTTTGTTTCTCTCTTTTAATTGGTTGATATTCTCTTCTTTTTTGCATGAAAAGACACTATCACATGAGCAAAGCCTCCAACTTAGTGCGAGCATAATTTGATCCAAAGACCAGCTGATTTAATCTCAAGTGATCCAACTTACTGAATAAATTAATATAGATCAATTCAAATATCACAAGAGAGAACTCTTAATATAGAAATTAAGAAAACTTGTCTTTTTATGTAACATATCAAAATATTTTCACAATCATCTATTGTAGAAATAGTTTTCAACTAAAAAATTAATTAAATTCATCCATCCATTGATTCATTACTCCATTAATTTTGCAGATTTATGCTACACTGAAGAGATTGACAAGTCAAATGCCTACTGCAACACAACAAACACACAGTACCCATGTGTCGCCGGAAAGAAATACTACGGCCGTGGACCAATGCAGCTCACCTGGAACTACAACTACGGAGCTTGCGGAAAAGATATCGGATTCGATGGACTCAACGCTCCCGAAACAGTGTCCAATGACCCTGCTGTCTCCTTCAAGGCTGCCTTGTGGTTCTGGATGTCCAACGTTCACTCAGTTATGAACCAGGGCTTTGGGGCTACAATTCAGAAAATTAATGGCGCTCTTGAATGTGGTGGCAAGCAACCCGACAAGGTTAACGCTCGTATCGGATATTACACTGATTATTGCAAGCAGTTCGGTGTTGATCCTGGCCAGAACCAGTCATGCTAGACGCTTAATTTTCAGAGCTTTTATAGTTATAATTAAGTTTGGTGATGAAATAAGTACTTGTTTCATAAAGAGTTGTTTTATTAAACAATTTATTTGAGTACAAATCTGTTGGAGTTTCATGTAACTCGAACGAAATAAATGAAATAAAGAGAAATTATAGATTTAAGTATGATAAAGTTCTTTAATTTTTTTTTTCAATAGTATTATTTATAAATTGAGGAGTGTTTTTGGATATATTTTAATATTACTAATCTTGATATTTAAATATATCAAAATATTACACTTATAAAGATCTCTATACAAAGTGATGTGATAAAAAATGAATGAAAGAGTAAATATAATGAGTTTTACTTTTTTATTATTTTTTTGTCATCTCACTTTGTATGTAAATTTTTGTAAGAATTTTTTTTTTTTTTTTTGTTTTGTTTTGTTTTGTTTGTAAGTATAGTATTATTGATTCTATAATATACGCACATGAATTGACATCATCATGTTATTAATAATACTAGGTATACAAAATCTTATACAAACTCTCATGTATTCAAATTAGAATAAATGAGTATAAATAAAAGTCCATCAATAAAATAAATAAGTGTCGGGTTAAACCTATTTGATAAAAATGTTAATCCCCTCGTTATTAAAATTTATGAAATGTTTCATTCAATATTTCATAACTTTGAAACGTGTGGTTATGAAAGCAATAACTAAGTAGTAATCATATGTAAAGTCTTAGATTAAATTTTCTATCTAACGAATATATTCTAATTGTTGTTTCAGTACAACAGTGATAATGATGAATATAAGCGAAGTCCTACATGGTTGTTAATTGGAAGGCACTGATGGTGATGATGCTAGTTCAATTAGAGTACACCGGATGAACATCTCCATGGAGCTAGCGGTCAATGACGGAATGAACTTCAACATATTTGCGGTTTACCGATTGGTATTGTTATTTTTTTCTTTGTGTCCGTCAGGCACGTAACCACATAGTGGCTTGTGGGTTCAATTGAACCCACTGAACTTTTTAAAAATTTCAAAAAAGTATTAATAGTTTATAGATTTTATAATTTTAAACCCACTTAATTTCATATTGACACTACAAAATAAATTATTAATTAATACTTTTTAAATTTTTCTCTTTTCTTTATTTCCTCTCTTTTGCTCTCATATTATATTTTTCCTTCGGGTTGGATACTCAAGAAAGTCTACTCATTTGGATTACAAGGTAAGATGATACTATTTTTTTTTTATTTTAAATTAATTCTTTTCTTTTAGATTTCTTAATTGATGAATGATCATGAGTTATGAGTTTTGAATTTGTATTGAGTTTAATAAATGAGTTTGAAATAATTCCTAGACTTTGATGTGAGTTTTGATTTAATCTTGTTTATGTTGAGTTATGGGTTAATTAATTATTGTTTTAAGTTGGGTTTTATAAATTGTGGTTAGTTATTGAGTTAATTTTGAATATGGTTTAAAGAATTGATGAAACCCTAAGTTGTAGAGATTTGGGGATTTGGTTTAATTTTGATACATTGGTTAGTTGCTTGATATTTAGAGTTATATTTGATGAGTTTTCATGGGTTTATGAGTTGAATTTTATTGGGTTAGTAGAAATTGTTTCAAAAACCTAAGTTATGAGTTGAATTTGATAAATTTATGTTGTTTTTTAATTGTAATTACAAGTAAATTATATTTCTGATAATAAAAATTCTTTTTTTTTTTTAGTTATGGATAAGTCTTTGATCAAAAGAAAGTTTTCTAATAAGGAATCATCAATTGAACAAAACATAAGGCGTCACGATAGTGTTCACAATGAGCCTATGAAATCTAGTTCAAGACAAATATATGTTAAGCTTAACTTGAGTAGTCTTTCTGCAAATCTTGGATTAAGGATTAAAATTTTAGAATATCATCCTAATGATAGAGACAAAGTGAGAAAGACATACTTGTAAAAATGACCTTGCCAACCACACAATCATAATTTTAAAAAGCGAGCAATTGAGAATTTAATGCGTCTTTTTAATCCCATTTGGTTTAGAGAATATGCAAATTGGTTAGAGTATAGTGTAGAAAAGGATGGTGTTTTTGTTTGTGTTGTTATCTTTTTAGACATGAAATTAGCATTGATATTACCTGTTGCAACTGCAAGTGTTGAAAGAGCATTTTCTGTAATGATGATTGTGAAAAATCGATAATGGAATCGAATGGGAGATCAATTGTTAAATGATTGTCTTATTACATATATATAGAGAGAGATATTTAATGGAATTGTCAATGAAGCAATTATGCAATGTTTTCAGAATATGAAAAATCGTCAAGGACAATTGTAGAATTGATAATTTGATATATATAACTTTTAACAGTACATTTTATTATTTGATGTAGTCATATATAAATATATATGTTAGAAAATTTTCTAGTTGTAGGCTAACATTAATTATGATTTGGTTTGACAAAACCGGGTAAATGCATAGTCCAATGAGATATCCTAATGGGCTTATATGATCATTTTAGAATTTGGCTAATACACTTCATTTTATATAATCTGGGTTGACGACAAGTGCAGGCTTAGGCCTGTAATGAGCTTTAGAGTTTATTGGACCTTTAACGGGAGGACCTAATAACTTGATATCTATTGGCTAGGTCTCATTTCCAAAATGCGATTGCACACTGAAACTCATTTGGAAATCGCCATTCTAGAGCGTTTTTGGAAAGGAAGACCGGTCAGTACTTGTAGGGAATTCAAGAAATTCAGAAGCCATGGCAAGATCAGGTTTTTCTAATCCTTAATCTTTAAATTTAGTATTCTATAATTAATATGAAAATGTTGGGACTAATTATGGAATTGACATGTGGTATCATAGCGGTGCATATTAGGTTATAGGATCTAGATTTGTTGGATTGAAATCAGATATGGCTTAATTATGAAATTGGGTTTAAAAATTGTGAAATTAGGGTTCTTGCACAATTTGGGCTTTTTGATTAAAGTCAATAATTTTTGAATTCTAGTGTTTTAAATCAAAATCCTATGGTTGAATTGTTGTTAAATTGAACATCCTATCATTGAATTGTTTCAATTAGGGTTTATATTTTTCCAATGTCAATAATTGCAATTTGGGGGCTTTTAATTAAAACCCCTTACTTGGCTAATTGAGAACCCTAAAAGGGTTAATTTATTGTTTCCGGCCACTAGATTAATTTTTACGGCCATTAGAGAGATGTTTTTTGGCCATTAAAGGAGTGAAAAGGCTGTATTTTGGCTGCTGGTGTCGTAGAATTGCGATTTGTAATTTCCATATTATAGGGGTGTAATTGTTATATTTCAAACCTTTTAAGGGCTAAAAATTTAACAAAAGTTTAGGGGGCTACTGGATATTATTACCAAAACTAGTCAATATTGGGTTCGACCACATAAAATGGTCAAAACGGGTCAAATTGATCTAGTATCAGTGCGGGTCAAGTCAATGGGGGCAATAGGGCCAACCTGACCCAGTCAAAGTTGGTCAAACATGGTCAAATGTTGTCAAACCAGGTCAAATAGACCTAAACCTGGGTCAACTAACCCGCAGACCCGATTGGATGCAACCGATTAACTGCTAACCGAATTGAAGATTCAGTTCGGTTAGTAACCGATTCAAGGGAAAAATCAGTCCAATTTCGGTTTGCAATATCCCTTGAATCGAATAATTAGTAATATGGACAATCCGGTTTGGTTAACCAGATTTTCACACCCCTAGTTGGAAGACTATAATAGCTTTGATGGTGTGCCACAACCCACAAGTTACAAAGACTCGACTTTTCAAATCTAGGAAGACCAAGTAGAAAACTGTATTGATTTCACATTAAAATCTACATACCCTTTGTTTACGTTGCCTTTTGTTCTTGTGTTCACAACTTGACATTAACTCAACCCGTAGACTTCACTCACAAGGAGACCCGTGATCAACACGATCCAACTAAAAATATTGTAGCATAATTATATATGTGGAATATTCATATTTGTTAAACTTATGAGTTGTGTGTGCACACTGGTTGCCAATCTTATGATTTGACTTGTTTCCTTTGCTGTGTGTGCACACATTGTTTCTGCGTGCACACTGGTTGCCACACTTGTGTCTTGGCTTGGTTCGTTTTGAGTGTGTGTGCACAACTGTTTGTGCTTACACTCTCGCTTCAAATATTTGCAACCCAGCATGAGTTGCATGTTTGATAAAGTGAAAAAGATATTGTTTATCTTTGTCTCTAACTTTTTAGAACCTTTTACATGTGTCATAGTATCCTTAAGTGGTCTTAGGGAATAAAGTTATCTTTCCCGATTTGTTTTGTGGTCTAAACCAAAAGAAGGAATATTTTCCTTATTTGGAAAAACATGGGTTAGCCCCTTGTTGGCTGACGTGACACTAATGTGTTGAGCAAGAAACCCTACACTATATATCATCTCATCTTGCATCTTTGAATCTAACATTTTGATCTTTTATTTCATTGTACTCTGAAATTTCTTAGAGGATTCTTTCTCTTAAGGTTCATAGGTTCATTTCCATCGTGTGCCAAAACCTCACCATATCATTCATTGACTTGATGGCTCTTGGATCATGGTTCTTTTGCTAATGTTGGTGCCTGCAGTTGGTGCTTGAAGCTTGATGGTTCACAAGCTGTTCTCGGGTGTGTTCCCGGGGTGAAGAAGGTCCAAGGAGTTGTTACACGTTAAGGATTCAGAGTTCGGTGCTATGTGTAAAGTTGAATAAGGAGTTCTTTTTACTGTATCTTAGATCAACTTTGAATATTATTTTATAATGTGTTTTTAACTTAGTGGATTGCTTCGATCTGGACAAGGTCTCATGGATGTAGGCTAAAAGTGGATTTTAGCCAAACCATGTATATGACTGTGTTCTTTATTTTCCACACTTGTGTTTGATGTGGTTAAATTGAAAATGTCTTAATCAACTTTGTAATACTTCCGCTGCACTTAAAATAAATAACCATATACTAAAATGAGCTAACCAACAACTTACTATCCAACAATATACACACTTGTTATACTATAAATAGCTTGCTCTTTCAATTGCATTTGCACACATTATCATTATCTCTCTCAAAATGGCTCTTAATCTGAGAAAATTAGGTCTTTCAAGCTTTGTTCTAGTGGAAATAATTCTTGCCTCAGCAATTATTC